TTTTGTGTGTAACTGCATGGTTCGGAGCAATACATGAGACTTTAGAGACCGTTCAACCGATCTGTTTTCACTGCTTTTTGCCAATGGTGTATGCCCTTCACTGGATTGGGTAGAATTGCTGCTATGAAGCTCTTTCCTTTTAACGGGCTACGTAATGCACTAATCTTCAAATCGAGTTTTATGATTTTTCCTCACAAAACCGCCATTTGTTCCTTTTAGTCTGTAGACGTAACAAGGCACGTTTCACATCTTATCTTTAGCGCATATACGAATCTTACTTATGGGACTATCTGAAAATAATTCACAGAATCACAACCTATCTCTCGGTACGCTGTTACCTCGGTTGAGTATAAAATTTACATTTGTTACGTCGTAGGAATTGACACATCTGCTTCATCTCGATTAGACCTGCTTGAACAAATATTGCTAACGATTCAAGTAAAGTAATGGCATCCGATTTAGAACTCTTTGTGCAAATGCCGTCTGCCTCATTTAAGGACATCCGTCGTTTCATACAGCATAGGTTTAAATGTTATACGGTTAAGCCTGGAAGGATGTGTGATCTGCGTGGGCTGCCTGTAAGACAACCGTACATAATTGTAGGTTCTACTTAGTTGGTGTCCAAGAAAGTGGACAGCCTCTTGTGCCTTTTGCGTTATACCGCATGTTGTGTGCCCAGCAGGAATTGTGCGCTAAAGTGCAAGTTATCCTGAGCTTCAAAAAAGATGTCATTTTCGTTTGTATTTTATTATGCCCTTCAGGAGACGTTTGCCAATGCTTTCTTTGTTTGTGTAGACATCCCAGCTATCCTCGATCGGAGAAGCTATGTAGGTAAGGCATGCTAAACCTGTCAATGCCATCCATTTTCGATTCTTGCCCCTTAGAAATAACTTCCTCTTTTCCGAGAGGTATATTTAGGTTTCTGATTTGATCACCACTAGCCTTTTCATACTGTTTTAAGTTCTTACTGGGCAACTCATTGAGCATTCAGTTAGAAGATGTGGTTGTTGTGCCAATGAAGACATGTCAATTTAATTGGTCACGAGGTACGATTTTTCCGTACTATATATACTACAGTGCCTTTGCATAACACATTAGTAAAACAGTAGTGTGGCATGAAAGCTGCGGCCCCAAGTAATAAGTTTTGTTCCTGTGTGGACCATGAGTTTTTCGTTGGTAAAATCTAGGTCCAGAATGGTCTTGAGACACATTGGAAAAGTGATGTTGTTTTGTATATATGTGAACCAGCGACTAGCTTTGTGGTTCTTGCTTTCATTGCTCGCTATCGGTTGCGGGAGTTCATAAAATAAATTGTTGTCTCAGCAATTAAAAATTTTAGGTTGCTGTTAAACAATCCCTCCATATAAACGTTGGGATGTAACGATCCGTGCTATTGAGACCAGAACTTTTTAACATAATCGTAAAACTACACGTATCAATCTACATAGGACTGGAATCAACGGAACTGAGAAATGTTTTCTGTCTAAGTTAATTCAATCGCGAAACTCAGTAGCGTCATAACATGCTTGTGAACGCTTCAGAAAAGAAACAGACTATCAGCTAGATGAACAAATTGATGCATATCATGGAATACACTGCGTTTGACCGACATAGATCAAAACTGGTAGCCCGTTATTAATTCATCAATACTTATTTCGTTTTATTGGCTTTTATATTGACCCGTAAAGTATATAAATAGCTTGAACTAAACGGACCAATATTAGTTGTTCAGCTGCTATCCATTGTTGTATCGCCCATGAGGTCTTCGCCCACGACCGCAAAAGGAAGTCCAAAGACGAGCCAGAAAGAGACTTGTATACATGAAATCACAGTTGTTTATATAGTTTTGAGGGTAAAATGAAAGGAAGCTACTAAAATACAATTGAGCCAAACAAACAGAATGAAAAACCTCAAACGCAACGGAGAATAAACAACCGTGTACTCAAGAGCGAATCGCATATGTGCTTAAAAATAGCATCATTGGACTCCAAGCGTAAAGCAAACGTCCATTTACAGTGACGGGCACTGACCAATCAAAATGACGAAATGAAACGTTTAAACAAAGGTCATGAAACCACGAGAATGATAAATGCTGGCCCAAAAGTTGAAAACTAGTACAATAATCGTGTGACAACTAAATATTCATTTAACATAACAAAGTAGAAAAGTGAAGCGAAGACAAAACCAGTGGAATGATTTCTTGCAACTGGTGCTGATGAAAAGGACATGATGATGAGCGTCCATGAACAATGACGTGGGTGTACCAATCGGGCTAACCCAATAGAGCGTTTAAACAACAGTCAAGAAATAGAAAATAGGAAGAGTAAAGAATAGCTATCAAGGTCGTTCAGAATAAATGAATGTCTAATAGCCGTTCGCATAATACATCCCTCTCTTAAAATAACGGGTTACCTGGAGTTCACATAGCTTTTTCGACGCGGATCCACTTAGAGAGGCTGCACGAAACTTCTTGTTATCTTTGGCCTGTAGCGGGCTCCATTTTCCATGCATTCCATTGGACGAACGTCGACGCCTGCAGAAGTACTAGGCTTGCCATTGTCCAGCAATTAATTGATGTCAAGTCCGTTGGCTTTCGGAACGACGGCACCATGTGTATAACGTGACCTCAACTGATTTACGTGGCGTCTCCATACCTGTGTACCCACTTGAACATCATACATCACCTTGCCTCGGCGTCGCACGACTCGTCCTGGTATGCAAGCGATCCGCCGTCCTTGATTAGCAGCCGCAAACACAAGATCGCCCACTTTGAAATTCCTTTTTCGTGCCCAACATCGCCTGTTGTATTGACGCTCCATCACTGAATTCCTTATTTGTAGAGGCGGATTATGGAGTCAGCAAATGTAGCGTGGTTCTCAATCTTCGACCCATAAGTGCTTCAGCTGGTGATTTCGGAGTAGCTCGGATTCGGAGTAGCTCTATAGTTCAACAGAAAACGTTCCAATCTTTCGTTCGGCGATCCCTCCTATTTTGACTTCCACAATCTTCGTTTCAGAGTATCAACAAATCTTTCCGCTTGCCCATTTGACTGCAGACGATACGGGGCAGTCCTCACATGCTCGTTCTCATTATGTGCGCAAAATGCAGCAAATTGGTATGACGTAAACCGTGACTTGTTATCCGACACGATTGCTTGTAGTAATCGTGGGGTAAAACACCCCCAAAAGTAATTGACCACAAAATGAATTAGTTCTACAAAAGTTAGGTTAAGGAGGAGCTGAGTATACCATTGTAAATTCTGACGCTATAGGTAAATCATAATTCAGAGTAATGCGCCAATGAAAAGAGCTGCTGAAACCGAGTACAGTCGAATCTGCTTAACTGCCCACCATCAGGTTATTTTAAACATGGGCAATAAAGCGGGGTGCGCACTTAAGACAAATCGCCATAACTTCCTAAAATGAAACAACTAGTGAATTACCGTACAGTATAATAGTTATATTTTCACGTGCAGTAAAGTATACAATACTTATTAAATCAAGAGATTTATTCAAAAGAGCAAGACCGACAAGTTAAAAACTAACACAAGGTATCTTGCCTGGATAGTTATAAAAACAAGTTTTTTGTCAAAAACTATCCAGCCTCAGTTGTAGATTATTTTGAGCTGCTATTCCAGTCACAACTGCACAGAGGAATAGCAACAATGACAAGAAATGTTTACTTAGTCCGATGCTGTACAGATCATGCGCATAGTAATTTGTCTTAAATGCAACACGCTCAGGTTGCTGTTACACACGGAGGCACACTCTGAGTCACTGCTTTCTGTCTGTTCTAGTCAAATCACTAAACTTTTAATGAAGATTGCCTATTCTACAGTTGTCAAATCTCATATACATTACATAGAATTGTCGATGGAGACGAACTCTTCTGCATTTACGACTGGGATTTTGCAAGCATTGATCCTGACCTCAGCGACGACGGAGACATAAAAACATGCATCGGAAACCAGTCGACTTAAGCGAGCTTGCCGAAGGCATGATTTTAAAGTTGAACCGAGGACTTGACTCCAAAATTTAAAAACTTACCTAATTGGATCTATCATGGAAATAATTGCGTGGATATCTGCCGCCCAATAAGAAACAGATGACAAGTTTCCGATGCAATAAATAATCAATGTCACATTAGAGGGTCACGTTTTTATGGATTACACGTTGTGTGATTGGATTGCGACAAGCAACCTCAATGTAATAGACTGTGATTCACATTGAAGTGAACCTTAGTCACTGCGATCGCTGGGACCGTATTCAAAGTAGATGGAAATGGGTATTGCCCACCCGAATACACTGCACAACCGCGATGCGTTTTGAATTATTTTCATCTCATCAGTTGGAGACAGAAAGTTTTGAACCCTCGACCATTGGAATAGCAGCCCACACTACTACCCCTTTGGCTACCGGGTCACGATGGGCAACGCTTTTTGTCACTACGGTAGATGACTAATTGGAGGGTCAAGTTTTTATGGATTACACGTTGTGTGATTGGATTGCGACAAGCAACCTCAATGTAATAGACTGTGATTCACATTGAAATGAACCTTAGTCACTGCGATCGCTGGGACCGTATTCAAAGTAGATGGAAATGGGTGTTGCCCACACGAATACACTGCACAACAGCGACGCGTTTCGATGTAATTTCATTTCATAAATTGGAGACAGCAGGATTTGAACCCTCGACCATTGGAATAGCATCCCACACTACTACCCCTTTGGCTACCGGGTCACGATGGGCAACGCTTTTCGTCACAACGGTAGATTACTAATTGGAGGGTCAAGTATTTTGGATTACACGTTGGGAGATTGGATTGCCTTTCGTGAGCCGGTGGCCAAAGCTGTAGCAGTGTGTTCTGCTGTTCCAATTGTCTTGTGTTCAAATCCTTCTATCTCCACCTGATGAGATGATATTACATCGCAACTTGTCGTGTTTGTGCAGTGTTTCTGGATGGGCAGCACCCAATTTCCATATAATCTAATCCATGTCACAATTTCTTTTCTGCAACGGATTTTCGCTTCCATATCCACAACTCGATCAATTGGTTGCAGATGCATACCATATTCTGTAAGTAAAATTTCCATCTGTATATTTCTCAGGCACTCTACTTTTGGATGCCTTGTGTAATTATTCCCATGCAAGCTGACATTTTGGCTTGGCATCTTGTCCCTTTCGACGTATTACTCCGTAAAGCGCTTTTTGTCATCCACGCATTTCCTTTAGCTCCGTAATGTGCGGGATGTGGTTCCACGTTTACACCATTAAAACATCGTTTTTTCCTACTTTTTCCAATCAAACCAATTTTTAATCCGTACCTGAACTAATCGATTTACTGAGCTTTTCGGCGGGAAAACTCAAAATGTACGCTGGATTTTCTCGGTAAAATAGACCTGGTTCGTCTGCATTGTATAGGTGTCATCATCAAGTGCATTTTTACTTTCAGGAGGTCCATCTTTTAGCCAATTTACACAGATTGTCCTATCCGCGGAACTCGTTTCGGCATATGCAAGTTTATGCACAATTTTATTGCTATTCTTTCATAATGCAACCCTACGTTGTGGCAACAAAGTATTTTTGCCTGTCCTTGTCCAAATGCTTTTGCCCTTATCCTCAACAGTGGGTCCGTAACTGCTTGGCTGTCTTTGGCAACCGACCTCAATCAGTCTAGCAATGCAGTTTTAACTTCTGCATCCTTTCCACATCGCTTCCTTTTCTGATAGCTTGCGGTGCCATGCGACTGATTCTGCCAGAGTACCTTTTCGCTGATAATCAACCTGGCAAGGATACGACGATTAATGTGCACATAACGCGACAAATTGTTCTGCTAGGTTTTTGGTGGATAGAAATTAAGTTGGTCCAAAACGTCCAACTTTTCTATCAATGATGACTCCTTTCTTTTACTGGCAATACCTGCGTGTAACTGGTGGAGTACTGTCAAATGTGAAGCGGAAAGATTGTCCGACTTGCTCAGTTCTCGAGTTTACTAATGCTTAGGGCTTGTGCACATCCGTTTGTACATGTAGTTTGATCGTGGACTGATTGACTTAGGTAACATATTCTGATCTCTCAATAACGACGCCGACATATTTGTTGTTCATCACACTATGAGACTGGCTAGCTGTGGGGTAAACATAATAAAAGTTAGTCGGAGTAAGAGCCTACAAATGACAAAGCGGCAAAAGCAGGCCCCGCGCAAACGGGCAATTAAGCGTTGGAACAATCCGGCCGTGGGCAGTTATACGGGGAAAATTTAGCAAATTTAAGAGAAAAGAAATTTTTCTTTGAATATCTGGGCAATACAGCGCGGTGGGTTGTAAACCGAGTGGGCCATATTATAGCTTCGATGGCAGTAACTTGCAATTGATACACTTAGTGGAATGCAATCAAAAGCAGTAATACGTATTAAAATGATGTGGTACCGTTGGATAGTCGTGCGAATTACATACGTTAAAAATAGGAAGAGCAAAATACTGAAATATGGACTCACCAGCATTTCCAAGTACAATCGCAAGTATTTCCCTCTTCCTCAGTTTCGTTGTTAAGCGCATCCTTCTACTGCATCTCGTCGTCACACGGTAAACAAGAACTAAATCAAGCAATACAGGCGGTGTAATTCCTTTTCAAATAGTCAACCTTAGTCTTCGCAACTTTAATTTTTTGGACTAAGCATGTTGTCTATTTAATGATTAAGACACGATTAATGGACCTTCATAGAGTGTGTGTAGTAAATTTAACCATATACTTATTTTCCCATTGACATTATGATTTACGCGAAATCATTATTTGTTTTATTCTATATTACAGTGAATTAGCCATAATATTAAAATTTTACTACGACAGGAGAGTCGTGTTTAAAATTAGCGTTCCATACATCCAATAGACGAAAAGCCGCTGGACACAATGAAATTTTGCAACATATGGCATTAGTAATATTAATGAGGGCTTCAGCTTGAAAGAGGGAGAATTTTGGTGTTTTAGGTCTGCTTATGTGATTACTATAACAGAGTATTGCCTAATTAACTTCACTGAAGGCTCCCAGTGAATCAATACTTTCCGGGTAGATCAACTCTCTAGAACATATTTGCTGAATTCATATGAAATCAAGTAGCCCCAGATACAAATTGTAACAATAAAATCCATGAAGCCGGTTATTTTATATTCTAGTTTTTTCATTAGTGAAATAAGAGAAACGCTAAACTAACAACCTTACCTTACAATTTTGACTACGTTGGCGCCAGAGCACTAAAGAATTTGCAAATGGTAACTCAAAGCCTAGAACGTTCACCTAATCCTTCTATTTGCTTATTGATTTTAAGCATACACACACTGCATTAACTTTTTTGTTGACTTCTAATTCAGTCATACTAAAGCAGCTGAAACTATTGTGAGCTTAGTATTCGACTGATGCTATTCGGCTTATGCTGTAAACATAATGCTTATTCCACTGTGTGTACATTTTATGTATCTATCTTCCTTTCGGTTTACTCACACAATTACAAGCTGAAAATCGTCGTACTGTGGTTTCTGGACTTCTGCTAATCTCTAATCAGAATAAATCACTCCAACATCCGATGTCGAAAAAAGTAATATTGGTTATCTCGTTAGTTTTACGGACTTGCCAACCCTGGAAATCTCACAAAATCGGTTGATTTCATACCTCTTGGCAAAGTTACAAAAAATAATTAGATGTTGCCATTGGCCCCTATCAATTCGTTGTTAAAGCTGTGTTATTTCAGTGTGTATAAATCCTACATTCTAACCGGATTTGATTGTCGCATATTCCGAAGGATTCGGTTCAAATATTAGCACTCTTTTATTTAATAATCTCACTGAGTATGTGAGCTATAACTACGCACATATGCCATCGTTAGCACGCATTTCTTCTTGAACATAACTGTCGTTAGCTGACTAGTTACTCGGTTGATCCTTAAACTGACAACTCAAATAAGTGTGATAGTGTACTCTTACACCTGCAATCCTACATGACTTATAACGCAACTCCTATTTTATCAGCGATAAACCATTGTTCACTCTTAATCGATGCAGTATATCTTATTGTTCGCTTCAAATGGCTTGTGTTTAATTGCAAAGCAAACCTTTACTCAACGGTTAAGAATGATATAAATCAAAAATTATTATCAGCCTTTTTAGTCAAGTAGATGATAATTAAAAGACGTAGATGTCATTTTCATTTTTGACATCAGAATTTGCTCTCCAGTGGATATGGAGTTCACGTTATGTCACCAAATTATGGGAAAGCTTTTTCAATTTGTTTAACGATGTAAACCTATCTAAAGTGGTCTATTATGTTACCGATTCTCCATTTGGTAACTCAGAGTATTTCAATCACTACTGAGCGCTTTTGCTGGAGCATTAACTCTCAAAATGTTTTTTTCATTCCCTGAGTAAAATAAGCTGTCCAAAAGTGAGACTATCCCCTCTTCTTCTAAGCTCTGCACGTAGCACACTGCGTAAATAAATTGTAGTCACATATGGCTGAGTAGCGGTCGCAACTCTATACGTAGACAGTTTGCTTTCGTGTGAAGCAGATCCCATTTGATTTGTTTCACGTGCAACCGAGTTTTGCATAAGTAATCTTGCATGCAATAAATAGACATCTCAGCAACCAACTTAGTGAAAGGTATAAATACCCGTGTTCTCCTTGACAGCTTGTAGATACTTTGGCTGACTTGTGACATAATGCAAATTTACATAGCAGAGTGGAGATCTGGATTGCGATTGATTTTCAGCGAAATCTTAGTTTAATCATATCTAAAATTAGCATGCTAATTGAGGACACTTTTTTCAATGCACATTTTCCGCCATTAACGATATAATTAATACAAACTGATTAAATGAAGCAGAAATTACAGCATTACGACCTGCAAGAAAACACTACAAGATAAATCGTGCTAATCACATTACGCTTGTTAAAGACAATATGTTCAAGTGATAATTACGTAATTGAATGAACGTTTCAAATTATTTAGCTATAAACTCGTGGCAGATGAGGGTGGTCTAGCTCGACCTATTAGTTACTGATTGCTGGATGGAAGCAGCAAGAGTATGTATCTCTTTAGCTACATCAAATATCCATCAGATATAAGGAATAATTATTTTGGCGCTCCTTCTCGATATTTCATATCGTCAGTGTTCGTAAAGGAAACTTTAATTTTTTACACCAATAACGCTTTGAGGACGTTCCGCTGTAAGTTATTTCTTCGATTTACTAGTCTGCATTTTAAAATGTTTTGGTGAACAATCTGTTTGAAATCCGGCACTAAAAGCTTATACCGGTGTCTACGTGTGCTGCTTGCTGTGCCTATATATTACAACGGCCTTATCATGAAGCAATCACAAAGATGTAATAACTGGTACGTTATGTTGACGGTAACCCGCACTAGATGAAATGCATGGTATTTATCGACTGTCTTCAGGGGCCCACCAAGTAAAGTAATATGAACTTAGCGGTCAGACGCTGTATCCGCTCTATCCTATCTACCTCGCATCAGTTGATAGGAGAGTGTGCGGGTGAGCCGTACTCTAACATTGGTCGCATAACCGAAACGATGAGACGAGTCGCCATCTCATCAGAACAATTCCTGAAACTTCGCCTGATGGCTCGAAGCATAAAAAGTCTTTTTGTGAAGTCTAATATTATTGTGTGATGACTTCAGGTCGCAGCGTGCGAGTACACTGAAGCCCCACCAATTGCCTGGGATACAAATGTTCACCGGCCACAGTGTACTTTCGGCCGTATTCACCCGTATCCAGCCTCATGGTTTACGACTTCACCGGGTTTATCTGAAGACCACATGCCAATCACAAAGAGAGGCGATCAAGATTCGGCCGAAGGTCATTATGTTGACCGATTAATCACACCTACAAATGATCTGTTACTGGCCTGCTTGTATACAAATGCTCAGGGTCTTTCTAACAAACTTGCTGAACTGAAAGATCGCCAAGCTTCTGGGACGTATGATGTCATTGGTATCACCGAGACATGCTTGCACACGGGAATGACGGACGCTGAGGTGTCGCTACCGGGCATATCGCTTATCCGGAATTACAGGCTCACAAAAGAAGGAGGGGTAATCCTGTACTACCCAAACGACTTACAGTGCGAAGCCGTGGAGGATTCAGTCTCGCAGTTCCCCGACTC